ATCATATCTTAATTTCTTTAAGAAAAATCTTCAGTTAAATCCAAAAAATCATAAGTTGATAAAGTGAAGTATTAGCACCGACATCCATTTACAGAAATCAGTGTCACATATAATAAGACACCCCAAGGACCAGTGTTGATTATGTTGGACCCTGTAGAAAATATTCATTTATATTTAAAAGATTTTAAATTGAGGCAATGGATTTTTCAGTCACTGGTAAAGAAAAGATCTTGTTCAAAATTTGCCATAGTCTTGCTTGTTATTTCACAAACTCAGAAACGTCACAAGCAAATCACATTAACTACTCTCAACAAAAAAATATCTTATCTAATATGATTAACCTATAAGAACTCCTGTTCCCCAAAACCAACACTAAAAGATACCCCCATATATTTAGTAGATTTCTGAATATCATCTCATTCTTTTAACTATCATTTTAAGTTATTTTTTAAAAATTCAAAGGTATAGATTATGATTTTTACAATCACTTATATTTTCCATTGTATTTCACTTTGATTTTTAAAATCCTGTGATTATCTATCTACCATTGTAGATAATGTTACAGGCAAAAAAATCGTGAATCCAGCTATTTTTCTACAATTGAGACTGCTGGTTCTGGTTAGAACAAGAAAGTGAATTGATTTCCCACATCATACATGGCCAAAATTAAAAAAAAAAAAAATTTGAAACAACTATTAGCAGAGGCATTCCTTTGAATAACTTTAAACAGGAAATGTCATGTATAGATAGGGGACTAGCAGGCTTTAAATTCTAAAGGGAGTTCAGAGCTCCCCTAGCTCAGTTTTCTACACAATGCAGAACTCCTTTCTATAATATCAGAGGCTGGGTTATAAACTGGTGGCCTGAGGACAATTTGCAGCCCATGGATATAGTCTACTTGGCCTGCACAGATTTTTTTTTTTTTTAATTAAGCCAACACACAAAAATCCAGATCTCTGCCTCCTCTGGAAAATCCACCTGGGGCTGCATGTCTGCTGCTCCTCTGGATGAGTCATGCCCTCTCCACTTCTCCACAGTGTCTACCACTTCCCATCCGCCCACTTCACTCATTCATGATCTGCCTGGTGCTTTAAGCATCTGAGCATTTCAGTCAGTGACCAATGCTCGGGAGACAGGGTTATCCACTCTCTGGCTGAACATCTCCACAAAAGGGGGGGCTCACAACTTTGCAAGTTGACCTATTTCATTGTAGGCAACTCTCTAAACACTAGAGAGATCTGTCTAGAATAATTTCCAGACACAAACTAGTTGTATCCTCGGAAACGAAGTACGTCTACTCTCTCTTCCACAGGAAGGCCTTCTAGGTATCTGAAAACAATTAACCTTCCTAGGTCTTCAATTCTACTTTAACATCCTCAGAGCTCTCAAATATTCCTCATAATAATATGTTTTCAAGCCCACTCATGGCCTTTGGCACCTTTCTCTGCATGAATGAATTCTATTTATGACTTATTTTTTAACAATTAATTATGTATTCATTTATTATATATTCTAGTTATCAATGTTCTTCTTCACATGTAATAATGTAATATTTCTTTGACCTAGATCAGTGGTTCTCAAATTTTTGGTCTCAGGACCCCTTCACACTTTTAATTCATTGAGGATTGCAATGAACTTTTGTGTAAGAGAGTTATATCTATTGATATTCACTGTATTAGAAATTAAAATTGAAATTAAAAAAAGTATTAATTCATTTCAAAATACATGTTAATATAATAGCATATTTCTATGAAAAATAAATATATTTTTCAAAACAAAACAAATTAGTAAGACCAGTAGCATTGTTTTACATTTTTGCAAATCTTTTTAATGTCTAGCTTAATAGAAGACAGCTGGATTCTTGTAACTATTTCTGTGTCCAATCTGTTGCAATAACACACATAGGTAGTCTCTAGAAAACTCGAGGAGAATGAGAGTAAAAAATGTAAATAACATCTTAGTATTATTATAAAAATAGTTTTGACCTTGTGGACCCCCTGAAAGGGTCTCTGGGACTCCTCAGGGGTCCCCAGACCATATTTGGGATCCATTGATACTTTAATTAATGTAGCTTAGGTTCCACTTAGTTTTTCTAGCATCCATGGCATTCTTTTCACTTATCTTGAGCTTGTAGTCAACTAAAATCACCAGTTCTTTCTCAAACTGTTGTCATGTCAAGCTTCCTCCTTTTCATCTAAATGCAAACCTTATATATGTATTTCCCTGTAGATCCCATTTTGTTGGTTTCAGGTTACTCTTTAGTGGTGGAGGCTGTTGGTGCCCCACCCAGGTCCCCCTAAGGCCAGTGCACCTATCGCCACTCAGCTGTTGGGACTGTTGGCTAATAACACACAGCAGCCCCCTTCTCTGAAGAAGTTCTTAGTAATCCTGGAGGCCCCTTGCTTGGGAAGCTATGTCCACCTCCACTTTAGCCAATGACTGACTGACAAGCCAATGATTGTCACCGAGTTCAAAAGGCCGGCCTCAAGGACACAAAGTGGGACTAATTCTGGGTGTATTTTGTGCTCCAGAGCTTCCCAGGGGATCAGACTAAAGTTAGTCTCTACCTGAGACCACATTTGTGCTTAGCATTTTACCCCTTGTCCTGTCCTGCTTCTGTCACTCCCCTTCTCCTAACAGCACACCCCTTAGAAGTCACTTCACCAGGAATATCCATCTCAGACTCAACCTAAGACATCTTTCATCCCACCAAAATTACTGCAATATCGACTCTATCAACATCATATTAACTAACCATCTCAGCTGTGCAGCATCTCAAATATGCTAAGCATTCTATTATAAAGTAGTGCAGTGGTTCTCAAAGTGTGGTCCCTGGACCAGCAGCATCAGCATCACCTGGGAACTTGTTGGAACTACAAATTCTCCAGCTTCACTCAGACCTACCGAATCAAAAACTCCATCATAGAGATGTGTAATTAACTAATCCATTACTGTCATACATTTCATATGTTTCCATTTTTTCCTATTATAAATAACGGTGAAATAACTATATTTGGGGGTAAATCTTTGTGTACATTTCTGATTATTTTATGAGTCTTTGTCTTCAATTTACTTTGATGTAAAAGTATTGCATCAAAAAAGAAGACATAGGGGGCTGGCCCCATGGAGTAGTGGTTAAGTTCGTGCACTCTGCTTCGGCGGCCCAGAGTTCACAGGTTCAGAACCCCAGGCATGGACCGACGCACCACTTGTCAAGCCATGCTGTGGCGGCGTCCCATATAAAGTAGAGGAAGATGGGCACGGATGTTAGCCCAGAGCCAATCTTCCTCAGCAAAAAGAGGAGGATTGGCATCGGATGTTAGCTCAGGGTTAATCTTCCTCATAAAAAAAAAAAAAATCTATTGATAGATGAATAGAAGGATCAATATATAATAAAGCAAGCACAGCAAAATGTTAATAGTAGAGTCTAGGTGATGAGTACATGGATGTTCAATGCAAAATTCTTTCAAATTTTTCATACGTTTGAAATTTGTTGGCAAGTGTTGAAAATGAAAAATGTTGGAAAAATTTATATTTTATGAAGCTAAATTCCTAGAATTGGAATAGATTGTACATAGTATGTGCACATCTTTAAACTTTGTGAAGTTAAAACATCAACCAGAAAGTGTCAGTTCCCTCACACTGTCAACACCACTCTTTAGTGCTTTTCAAATCTCTGCCAACTTGTTAGGCAAAAATTGGTAATTCATCTCTTAAATCATCATTTCCATGTGCAATTTTTAAAGTTAATATATAATGAATTGAAAAGCTTCCTAACATGCTTGGCTTCAGATTTGGTGCTGGTTATTCAAACTATGAAGCAGTAATCAAGATTTGAGCACCCACCCACAGGCCCCTGCTTTTTTATCAAGCACAATATCCTCAAGAATAATTGCAAACCAAATTATATTGGTAGGAGTTACTTCCAGGCCAGCATCATACACAGACAGAGAGAGCTAGTGCCAGATTGCCAAATGTGTCTGATTTAATAGGTCCTGAGAAAGGGCTCCTCCTTCAAAAAAAAGTTACTCTCTCATTTTACCAGGATGCTAGGAATTCTAAGCTTTAGTGGTTTCTTCCTTTGTGTTGAAGCAATTAGATCTCCACCAAGTCTATTTTAAAATTCAAGTATTTTACTGCAGTATGGGCTCCATATAATTACAGTGCATCCATAGGAAGGAATGCAATGGAGCCATTAAAAAAGAACTATGGAATTCTACATTCACTGACATAGAATATGTCCATGATATACTTGCTCATTGCAAAAATACAAGTATGTATGTGTGTCTATGATAGAAATATGTGGAAGGATATCTACTAAAATATTAATAGTGGTTACCTCCAGTTGAAGGATGTATGGGAATTTTTTTACTCTTTTTATATATTTCTCTACTGTTTATTTTTATAATGGATATATAAAAAACTTTTGCTAACAATAACAAATACAATAAGGCTATTTGCATTTTGATAAAAAGAAAATTGAAATTATACCAGAAAACCATTAAGCCATTAGCACCTTATCAAAATTTAATTTAGCAAGATTTTCAAGGCAAGGTTAAAGTCCCCTAAGGAATGAGACCCAGACCCAACATATTTTAAAGGGCATAGGGGAAAAGAGCTAAAGACAGACTAGGCAAAGAGGTCTCCAGTCATGTATTAAGCAGCCAATGGATAGGTCTCTACTATCCTAGGATTTCACTGGAGAAAAATCAATAGGCAATAGAAGGCACCTGGGGTCTGCAGATCCAAGAGAAATCAAAACAGGGAAGGCTCACTACAATCTGTATAGCCTCAGAGTGGATCTTATCTTTACCAAAATTCCTGCTTTCAATATTATAGAAGAAAATACCTCCTAACAAATGATGTTCACTTCTTCCCCTACAGCAGGTCTGGGATCCAATGGCAGTTAATTTTTTTAAATATATATTTAACAGATTTAAAATTTTAAATTTACACTTCACAAGATTGAAAAGGAGAATATGACATGTTAAATCACTCACCTCCATGGGAAGACATGTCTGTTCATGGGCAGATGTTCCTGGATGTGACACCACAGTCCCATTTTTAACTTGAAAATGCGTTTTGCACATGTAGCCATCAGAAGAGTCCTGTGTTCCAACACCAAAGAATACATTAAAAAATGCTAATTATTTTAGGAATTCATCATTCTAAGAACTACAGCTTCTCATAAGTTCTAAACCAAGCAATGAAAAACTAAGTATATTAAATGAGATAAGATAATATGGATAAAGAAACTCATCTAATACCCTCTGCACATAGTAGGTACTCAATAAATAGAAGGTTTTTATTCTTCTACCTTTCTCACTTATTAATGATGTTTCCCCTCCTCTTAGATTAAATCTCCCCCTCCTTTTTTTTTTTTTTTTCCAAGCAGTCCATAGCACAGAAGTCACAGAGCAAAGCTTTAGGTTGGCAGCTGTTAAAAAGCATTTAAACTTATAGAAATATCTTGTCACATAACTAATACTGATTTTCATTGCATATATAGAAAGAGAAATTTTAGGAGGACTTGCAACAGATCTTGAAGCTAGAAAGGACCTCCCATTTCAATTTCTTGTTTAAGGCAAGATCTCCATTGAAACGTCTCAGGGCAGTAATTAAGCAGCACCTGCCTGAGCACTTCCAGGAACCCGCACTTTACTCCCTTACACGTCCAACATCTCTATTTTGGCACATAGTACATTGTTCATTGAGGAAGTTTTGTCTTATATTGCACTGAAATGTTTCCCTTTAACCTTAACTCACTGGGTCTAGCTCTGCCCTCTGGAGTCTAAACTCTTTTCTAAAGAACCATTCTTCAGAGAGTTGAAGACAATTACCAGCATTTTCAAACATCCCTCAGAAGATAAGATTTCCAAGCCCTTCACCAGTTGCATTTCTCTCCTGTTTCTTATACTTGTTCTTAAATACACTAATGAATCATGTCCATCTAATTGTGGTCAGTTCTATTTTTTTAAGGCAAAACTTGTTTGAATTTAATAAAGTCATGTAAAAATATAGTACCTCCTACATGCACAAGCATACTCACATATTAATGAATATTATTAATCTTCCACCAAATTGTCACACTAACATTCACATTTTAGCAGAATTAGAATAATTATAATTAAAGATGTGGTTACTTAATCTGATGCAGTAAAAAATAAATGCAGAATAGCATTCTAACTAAAACATTCATAATTCACTTAAATACTTTCACTAAAATTCAAAAATCCAGTTTTTAACAATAAAATAAGAAAAGAAAAATTTAATAGTGCTTATGACTGATTTAATATTGAATATTTTCTAAAACTTATGTCATGCCAACTATGTAAGCATCTGATTTTAGGTAACTGTACTGGGTTGAATAGCGTCCCCCAAAATTCATGTCCACCCAGAACCTATGAATGTGACATTATCTGGAAACAGAGTCTGTGCAGATGTAATCAAGTTAAAATGAGGTCATACTGGGACAGGCTAGGCCCTAAATCCAATATGACTGGTGTCCTTATAAGAAGAGGGAAATTTGACTACAGAGACACAGACAAACAGGGGAGAAGGCCATGGGAAGATGAAGGCAGAGATTGGAGTAATGCGTCTATAAACCAAAGAATGCCAAGGATTGCCATCAACCACCAGAAGCTAGAAGAAGCAAGGAAGGATTCCTCCCTAGAGCCTTTGGAGGGAGCATGGTCCTGCCAACATCTGGATTTCTGACTTCCAACCTCCAGAACTATGAGAGAATAAATATCTGTTTTAAGCCACTCAGTTTAGAGTACTTTGTTACAGCAGCCCTAGGAAACCAATAGAATGACTACATTTTCTGAGAAATCTGGCGGCACATTTACAACACCTCCCAATTAGCTGGGCTGACATCCCACCAGCACTGGCACAGGGACCCCACTGGTTGGCTGTGATCAGCATCAATTCTGATTGGCTGGACCCAACTCATTCTGACTGGTTGATGCCACTGTCACAGATTGTTAAATATTTTGAATATTATTCCTGCCTGTAAGGAGAGCTATCAGGTACCCAATACTATCATCTTTTATTATTTCATTAAGGTTCTGCATTTGCAGATGGAATATTGTTTTAAATTCCAGTCTACATCATCCAACCACAAAGCACACCCCCTGATGGCCTTCCACCACTGAAATCTTTCTATTTAGACAGTGTAAATGACTTTTAATATTGACTTAAATGGAGAAAGATATAGGTAGTGACTGCTGCTATTGTTGTTACTTTTTACATCAAGTATCCATTCCTCCTTTTTTTGGAACAGCGATTTTCCTCTAAGGAATCATTCCCTTCTCCCTTGTCAGTGTGGACATGTCCTCCCAGCTCCAGGGATGGTCACAGGACTCTGATCTGGCCAATCAGCGAATCAGTCCTGCTGGCGTCAGAGACTCAGGAGGGCAAATGATGCAAGCAGAGCCAAAGAGATGTGATCCAGGACTTTGGTTCGGGGAGAGGGGGAGGCTGTTCTCTTTTCTACTGGATTTGAACCAGAAAGATAAAATCCTGGTAGTGCTGGCAGCCATCATGTAATTAAATGGAGCCTGAGAATGAAGCCAATGCAGAGGAAAGCAAAGCCTGAGATGCAGAGAGACCAGATCCTCATTACACTATTTATACCAACTATTCCTGAAGCGAGCTCTACCCGCGAACTTTTCAATTACATGGCTCCAAAAAGTCCCTTCTTTGCTTCCACCAATTTGGGTTAGGTTTTCTGTCACTTGCAACCAAAATAATCTTCCTATAAAATGATATATCTTGTGATTATTAGTTTAAAACTAGAAACTTTCTACTGTATTGTAATATCACTCTCATTATGATAGATAATCAATAGTTGATTATATAAAAGATTTACCAAATACAATAAAACCATAATGGTATATGTTTGTGAGAACAAGTACTGGAAGTCTGAAATTTAAAAATAATCCAGCAATAGAGAAAAAAAAAACTCTTAGGATATTTCAGAGAACGGTTAGAGCTAAACCTGTGTGTACTGGATATAAGAGGGTAACTGTTCTATTTCATATTTTTCTCTACCTGAGCGCTGGTCACACAACCTCTCCTTAAGGGAAGCTACAATTTAGTTCAACTCTAATTACAATGCAAAATACATCTCCTTTGACATCAAAAGAGATGAGTCAAAAATTCCTGTGCACCTATGTCATAAAGTCTATATAAATTATCTAGTCACATTTCCAATGAGTTAAGATAGAGAGATGTCATATTCAAAATTACTTATAATTTAAGGAATTTTCATTTCTATTTTAGGTAATTTCTGATACTATTTATTAGAGTCTACAGGGAGGTGCACAAGGGTTTTGACTCAGCCTATATTTGGTCGTGGTGATTTTCTCTTCAGTATCAATCTCTTAACAGTAAGATTAGCCTCGAAAAATTAAATATAGAAAAAGGAGAGTTTATAGCATTTTAGTTTCCCTTCAAACATTTACTTCCACAGAAGTAGGCCTTTCTCTTACATCGTTTTAATTTAAGGCAGAAAAATGTTTTGTTCTTTGCTGTTGAAGGATGCTTTTTTAGAGGCAAGCAAGCGTAAAAGCATGAGAACTGCCACCCCAAACCCGCACGACAGTCCATCAAGGCCAGTAAATACGTTTAACTCAAATCTCCCCCGACTAGCCCAGTGGACGCTCCACTCTCGCTTCCCTGCATTCCTTTTGTGCTTACTATAGCTTACAATTTAACGTTAACTCTTCTTTAATTTTTTAACATTGGTTAGTTTTATTTCCTCCAGGAGATCCTAAGTTCAGGGCCTAGGCCCCAGCCCCCGGGAGAAGAAAAGCTGCTAAGGGAAGTCAGGGTCCTTACTGCAGAATCCAGATGGCCATTCCACATAAAGACCTGGTCCCCATGGAGCACCTGCATGGGGGGAGGGAGGAACAAAGGGAACCCTACAGTTTATCTAGCTCAACCCTCTTGTTTCAGACGTAAGAGGCTGAAGGACTGAAGCAGTTTTAAGAGACTTGTCTTACAGCTAATTAGGGGCAGATCTGGAGGTGGGAGCAGGCCTCTTGACCCCAGTGTTCTCTCTACAGCACTAAGCAAATTCTGCCACAGAGCAGGATCATGGCAGAAACAGGCTTACTGGCTCTTGTGGACTGATGTAAGCCAGCGCTTTGCACACTGAGTAACGAGCTCAAGCCACGTAAGTGTGGTCTGGGGACCAGCAGCCTCAGCATCACCTGGGAGCTTGTTAGACACACAGAATCTCAAGCCCCACGCCAGACCTTCTGAATCAGAATCTGTATTTAAGGGGATCCCGGGTGACTCGTGTACACATTTGGAAGCACTGAGGAAAGGGCACAGCAACCTCTGACTCAAAGGGATTGCAAATTGATTATATTAAACAGTGGTTCTCAACCCGAGCTGCACATCAGAATCACCCGGGGAGTTCTCAAAATGCTGTTGCTGGGGTCCCCTCTCAGACCAGTGAAGTCAGAATCTTCCCAGGAGACTCTAATGCAGCAGCCAGGGTAGAGAACGACTGCACTAAACGCACTGGGGTCCCCCTTTTGAACTCTGAGAACAGTCAACCACGTACCCTGCAGCTGCCTCAGAACAGGCCACAGACAACACCCAACCTCCAGGAAGGCCATGGCTCCTGTGGAGTTCTCCACACACTAAACTCGCCTCTGCGGACTCGCACATGGAGCTGTGACTGTGCTGAGACTGCTCTTTAGGGGGTTTTCACGACCACCTCAAACCATACTTTTTGGCAACTAGCCCAGCCTTGACCCAGTCCTCTGTAACTGCCATTAATGTCATAACTTAAAACTGTCACTGTCCCATGTCCAACTACGCTTCAGCCATCAGGATTCCCTGCTGCTTATCCACCATAACGCAGGTTGTTTCACTCTGTCCCTGTACTCCTCTGTGGTGTTAGGAAATGTCCGTGCTGTAACCCAGACACCACTAACAAAAAAGAGAATACTTCCTCACAGTCAAATCTTCTCAAGTTATCTACACAGAATGCCCTTCACCTTATACCAAAATATGAAATAAAGATTTAAATAAGAAAAACGATACCATAAATGTGCTAGATGAAAACACTGGAGAATATAAACTTTATATATAT